GTCATGGCACACGTGACAAGCTAAGCAGTGCCTGGTCCACGTGTAGCTGTCATGGCACACGTGACAAGCTAAGCAGTGCCTGGTCCACGTGCTGTCTCTTATACACATCTAGATGTGTATAAGAGACAGGTAATACACGCGCCGTAGCATACGCAGTGTAACACAGGGATACAAGCGCAGTAATACACGCGCCGTAGCATACGCAGTGTAACACAGGGATACAAGCGCAGTAATACACGCGCCGTAGCATACGCAGTTAACACAGGTATACAAGCACAGTAATACACGCGCCGTAGCATACGCAGTGTAACACAGACTTGGTGATACAATCACAGTAATGCGCGCACTACAAATCATGCACTATTGTGGGCACGCAGTAATAGATGTACTACTGTAATACTAACACCGTAATGCACGTATAGTAATCCTCATATTGCATTGTTCTTTCTTTTGTTTTAGTTCTGTACGTTGCAGTCCCAGGTAACGCTGGTGAAGCGCCCTAGGTATTCCGTACATCCGCAGTCCTCAGGCCCGGTAGACAAGTCTTCTTCATCGCCAGGGCCAAGATAGCAGGGGAACGTAACTCCGCACATCGGACCTCAGCTAGGGAAGCTGATACAAATACTGTTATTGGCATCTTACTGATGCATGGTAGTGGGGGCAGGATCCCGTCGAGTCGCCTCTTGAAGGCCTCGAGAAATCTAGTTGTTTCAGCTCCGCTGGCATAGCTTTTATATTAAAAGCCTTAGTCCCACCACATGAAAGAGCCCCCTCGCAGAGAATGAACTGTGACCGCAGTTTTGTTTAGTAATAATAATATACTGCACAACCACAACAGTGTCGCCATCCTCTCACTGAAATTTGTCAGAATAGTGAAAATGAAAGTTTCTGAGTTAGCGACCAGTCCAGTTATCATCATCCATGTGCATAGAATGACGAAACTCTCCCGTATCCTATGCTCCGAGAAAAAGATCTTTAGGTGCTTGAGCCTTAGCCAGTAGGACAGCTGCCTAATAACACTGGTCCGAGACATGAAGGGCCGCTCCAATTGCCAGAGAGGTCCATAGCTGGCAGCAGTATTCAGGGAGAAGGATCACAAGGGCTCTAAAGACTGATAATCGGTTCCGCTTCCCTAGCTGGAAACGTCAGCTAGACCTATTGCCTGCTTCTTGCAGTGTTTGCCAACCTGTAACCTGGTTGGCTCCAACCTGGTCTCCAAAGTCCAAACGTTACCGCCCTATCTCCTTCTTTCTTCAAGGCTGCGAACGAGGTTTGTTTTCTCAATTACGGTGCTGTCCGCATCAAGGTGGCAGTGTTCCATACCGACTTCTCGAACACCTGTTACAAACTTTGTCCCATTGAATGGCATGTTGTTCATTCAGTTCCAGTCAAATCTATATTGTAGAGTGTACCTGCAATCACTTGGGCCCAGTAAAACATTGTCGACAGGTCATTTTGCTACCTCTCCCAATTCCCTCTAACCGTAATAGCAATCAACCTCCTTGTGTTGTCCGCTAATGGCGATGTCGAGGCGTGGCTCACTTCCTCGTCTATGTCGGCGATGTTAATGAGGATGGTATCAAGCATCGTTCTCAGTGGCACAGCGCTTTACACACTAACCGCGATTGATCTTGAACCTCCAACAAC